AAAATAATAAGAAAATGAACAGCGGAAAATTCGACAACGAATTTACAAGAAAAAGACAATTCGCTTTGTGGAGAGAATTACTTGAAAAATTAATTGCGTGTGTTGAACCTAAAAAATCCGTTATGTAATGGAAAATGTATTTAAACTTAATCCTTTCTTCATATAGTTTTCTTCCTTGATCTATTTCTTAAATTGTTTTGTCTATTAAGATTATTTATTAATCAGAACTTAACACTTCTGATTAATAAATAATCTTAATGTAGTGTCTATGCTTTTAATAATCTATACATATAATTTACTATCATTTTAATACTCTTTTTCGATGAATTAGATACTTCTTTTTATTTTTAGAAAAATTTGCTGTATACATTTATCAATTATGAATTAAAGTTTTTTTTATTAGTATTGACTTGACACGAAAAGAAATGTCATCTACTCGTGGTCGAAAAATTCGTTGCCTTCTCAAACAACGTCTTTCGGCTCTTTCTAACTCTTCGATAGCGATAAGAATTGCGTATCCGTCAGCCATTTTTACTTTCGTGTAGCGATCTCACATGCTCGACTCAACGTGAGTAGCAACTCGCATGGTGAGATGGGAAAGCACGTGAGTTAGAACTCGAGACTACCAATTTGACGTCAGTGTGTGAGTTAGTACCACGTGACACCTTCAACACGTTGGGAGTTGTAACACGAAAAACTCGAGACTAAGGCCCCAGAGCGGTCTTTCAATAACCGGACATAAAAAAATAAACAAAAGACGCTTAACTTAAGCGCGGTTTACAAAACGAATACAGTATGATTAATCTTAACACTTGACTATGATATATATTATTTGTACGGAGTGGAGTCCGAATGTTATATTTATGGGTTTTGTTTCGTTTGACGTTATAATTAGTCTGAGAACGCTTTCTTTTGATTAAAGAACAACTTATTTTCATTATTAACTAATAGAATACTATTAGTTAATAATACGAATAAAGCAATCATAATTTGTAATTATGGCCAGAAAATACCATAAATCGCGCTTCCGGCGGCAAAATTTAGAACTAATGCTCACACAGGGTCTTAACGTTTTGTGTGCATTTCTCGCTTCTGCATAAATGGTATCGCGATTGCGTATTCTGGTCCGAAAACATCTTTTCGCATTTTTCCCTCTTCTCGCATTTGCATAAATGCAGCCTTACAGCGAAGACTCTAAAAGACTCCAGTCTGGCGAAACCGAAAACGGAATTTCTGATTTCATTTTTTGAATGCATCGTATCAGAGTCGGTTAACCAAAATTAGCGAAAGAGGTTGTTAATTATCCTTTGCTATGTTCTTTACGCGGTTTATTTGTTTTTTGTAGAACATAATCGTAAGCTAATAAGCGCCGGGTCGGTCAGCCAGTTTGGTGATTAAACGTGGGAGGCGTCTATTAGATTTACTGCATGTCTTAAAAACATTGAGAAAAATCGCCTGTATATTTACCTTCTTTCTAATGAGTTATCTTCTTAAATTTTGCAAATTAAAATTTTTAATTGGTTGAAATTATTAATTAGATAGCACACTTCACAAAAGCGAATAAAATATTTTCAAAATAAATTGAGGATAGAGACGCGTTTTATAAATGCTAATAACGAGTAAAATCTTTATTAAGTCCGACTCCACTCGAGTGATCCCTATCCCTATCTCCTCTTCTCGATTTATAACCAGCAAAATTTAATAGCACCAATGCCCTTTATACACAAACTAGTGCTAAATTTCGTTTCTTAATCATTACCCCATCCTGCGATATTAAACGAAATAGATGCCAACACACAAGTAATTTTTTTTTATTCAAGTTGTCTCAAAACGCGATTTGCAAAAAACTCGGAGGTTCGAATTTGACACGATTTCAATATTTTCCAATGTCATATACATAATAAGCTGGAAAAGTAAATCTCTACGGGATTTACTGATGAATAACAAATAAAAGCAATCTATTACAATGCTATAAATTTATTAAATTGTCCCTTAATAAACTTTCCAACTTTTATAAAATATTAACTTGAAAAAATATTTAATCGGTAATTTTGTTACACTATCGAAATTATTGAAACAAAAATTTTAAACGACACTGTCACTTTTGCGCTTGGTTTTCATGTTTAGACTGGTTTAACATCTGCCCTAAAATTGGTGGTGTAAAAGGAATTAAAATACTATACTTCGAAAAAAAATTTTTGTCGACGTTAAACTGTGCGCTCTCAAATTTGATATTGCGTAACATTTTTAAGACCTCAAATGTCTTGTAATAACATGAAGTTGTCAACGTGCAACAAGAGAAAGATGTTATGGGCGTCGCAATTTAAGTGTTTAAACATAAATTAATGAAGTAACGTGTGACAGCCTGGTATCACAAAAATGTCGTTGCCCATAACGGCAGAAAAAGTGATATATCGCCGAAATAGTTGAGAAAAAGTGACTAATTTAAGGATAGTGAGAATAGTGGTCCGTTCCAGGCTTGTGTTTGCCATCTGATGAATTCTGTGATGGGGATTGTTCTCTGTATGCATAATTAACTTTTCTACATTTGGAATGATAGTCTCCAGGGGTACAGTACTACTGTTGATGTAGAAGCAAACATGGAACCAAATTGAAAGACGTCGACCAGGCATTTGGGCGGAAGATCTCTGAAAGTGATCTAAAGCGTTACATTAGTTTTTTGCATTATATCGATCTGCTGGATCGATACTCAGACACCAATACATAAGGTGTCTGAGTATATAAAATTGGTTTGGGTATTTTTAAATATTGCAATAGAATAATAAGTATTGTGTGTAATAAAACTTATTAAATCTAAACGTTTTAATTTAATTTAAACGATTTTGTTTTTAATTTAATGTTTGTTAAGTTATGGCAACGCAACACTTGGGCGATCTGCCTAGGGGGATGCCTTTTTAAGGGAAACTGGCCCCTATTTAGGCGTTAAAGACGTAGAGAAAACCCGGAAAACGCCACGTGGCCAGACCGTCCGAGCGAGACGCGAACCCATGACCGAACTCCCAGTGTTCAAGGTACGAAGACCGCTCGGCCACTGGTGGGGTTTTTTTTTTTAATTTAAACTTCGATGTACGATTTAATAAAGGTAAACATTACAAGAAACTTTTTTAAATTTTCACAATATGCATCTTTTTCTATAAACTCAAGCAGACTGGCAGTGATCCATGGACCACACATTGTTGAGATATCTACTATCCTAATGATCTCAAATAGCTGGTTATAAAAATTTCTACTGTATTGCACCACACTGCGCAAAAATTTTCAGTGTTTTTAGATGATGCTTTCAACAATATTAGATAAGGAGATAAGCAAAGCAGTTAAGTATATCAGAATGGATAGAGGAGTGAAGGAAATGAAACACTTGGACAACAAGTGATGCCTCCCAGGACGACTTTCTATAGGAAAATGAGAGGCTACGGTGGAAAAATAATATAAAAATTTTCTTGTCAAATCTGTAATTTCTTTGTAAGGTATTTTTTGGTGTTCATTACTTGAAGTTCATCCTTAACTGAAGTTTTTCAGCCTTATAAAAGTTCATTCTGAAACCATCATCATAAATAAATTTTGCATTTTTGGATGTCAAAAAGTCCATTAATTACTGTGTGCTAAAAAATAATCATTCCTGGCATTGACTTCAATTTTATTTCTATTAAATTACTGTAATCAACATTTTGTGTCAAGTTTATTATTGTATATACTATCCTGTGATGATGACACATGTTTAAATTAAAACACTTTTTAAATTTAACATAAGGAAAATATTTAACATATTTTATGTTAACTTACCAGTTTAGTGTTGCATGGCAAATTGTATGGTAGGAATAGTTTAGAATATTCAAATTAAATCATACGTATTTGTATGATTTAATTTGAAATTTCCAACTATTCAGTAATAATTATTAATTGATTCATAAATTATGGTTTTATTTCTTGTGAAATAATTTTGGGGGAAATTTTGGGTCTTGAAAATATTCTGCATCCCTGCTCATAAGTTGCATTGCACCACACTACTTCGTAATGCCTGAAGATAGCTATACTTGGTTAGCCCTATTGTCAGCAAAGAGATTCAACAAGGAAGCAGGAGCGAATTCCCCAACTTTCTGAATACTAATGAAAATCCAATTTTCCAGGTGGGTAAGAACTCTGTATATTGCTGAATTATAAATTCTTGCCATATTGGTAAGCTATTTACGTTATTCCATAAATATTAAAAATTCTGCTTTGCAAAATCTTCACATTAATATTTTTTACTCAATATATTTTAAAAATTTTAATTAATATTTGTATCATAAACTAAAACATTGACATTAACTAGTTTAATTTTTTATTTTTATATTAAATAAAAACTTATCTTTAAGAAAAACTAGTTCTCTTTAATCATTTAATTAAGGATGAAAAAATGCAAAAAAGTGCAGTTAATCAAAAATCATATGTTTTAACTCTAAAATATTCCTATAACCCTTTCAATAATTTTTGAATTAAAAAGAGTTTTAATTTTTATAAACAGCCTTTAGATGATTGATTAGTATTTATTAAACTGTAATAAAATTAATTATTTTTTAACAAGATTTTTGTAGATAAAATGAAATCTATATATGAATGAGATATTTTAAATCTGAATTCATAAAAAATTAAATTTCATATATGCAGGTATTTAAGAGTGAGTGTGTGTGTGTTGTAGTAATGTTGAGATATGCACAAGTATATATTTTTATATGATATCAATAAAAAATAATAAAAATAAAAGACAATGAAAAGTTGTAGTATGAAACGAAGATAATATGTACAGTACTTTAGATTAAAATTTAAGTGAAGTTTAACTTATGCTAAAAACTTTAAAACTCTTCAGCAATTTCTTGAATTATTTTATTTGGATGACAACTTCATCATACATATAAAACAATGCTGTACTTGATCACTGCAGAAGAGAAAAAATAAAATAAATTCATTTGAAATAGTTTATCAAGGCATGATTGTTTTAAAATTACAGTATTGCAAAAATTTTTTACAGAAAATAAAAAATCTTCACAGAAATAGCAGAAAAAAGAAAAAAAGATAAGATTCCATAGAAAAAACCCAGTAGTATTCAGAAAAAAGATGATGACATAAGGACATCATTTAGTGACGCTGAAGTGAAATAAAAAGAAATTAAAAACAAACATAAAAGAAACTTATTTAAAATTATAAAATAATGATAAATAAATAATAAGTAAAATAAATATTTTTTATGCAAAATGAACTGAAATGTTTAATTTATATGTATGCACATAATTTTTCAATTCCAACAATTACTTAAATAAATAAATAAATAAATAAACAATAATTTTGTGAATTCAGTATTTAAGTCTTCTCTGTATTTCTTCTATGTAAACTACTTTATATTAATAATCTTGCAGCACTTTGTTACTCAACAAAACCGAATTTGGTTATTTCAATATAATTTCATAACCTTTTAATTCCATTTTTAACTCTACCTTGTGGAACTAAGATGATCTTTTTTTATCACTCCATTTATGAATGTGATTAAAAAGATCCTATTAGTACCCATAGGGTATGTTAGTTGGTAAAGGACATATTTGGGATGGACCACCCCTGAAAAATTTCTGCCTAAATCAAATCTCAGGTCACTCAGAGCAGTATGCCTTAACTCAACCACTGTCCATCTATTCTCTCAAACACAGTTTGAGAGAACAGATTAAAACAATATCTAGTAATTTAATATATCACTTCATACTATTTGATTTTTCTCATTATAAGGCCAAGTCAGATACAAAAATAATGTGGAGCACAAAACTAAAATATTTAATACATAGAAAAAGACAGAGAAATACAGATATTTGTTTAATTATAACATTTTCATTAATTTAAATGTTTCAAAATCACTTATACATAACATAGTGAATGAACAAAAAATGGGATAAGAACTGAGTTATTTTAATTACTTATAAAACCCTGTAGTTACATATAAGTGGCTATCAGAAATACACTGCATATCATATACAATGTATTTGCAATTATATTACTTTGTTTTTTTTATGAACATTAGGCCTCATTTAAATTTTATACATGCAGAAATATTCCATGGCTTACTAAACTCAACATATATGAATTTTTTTATGCAGGATTTCATTTTGTAAAAAATAATTATATGAATTAAACATTTAACAATGTTATCTCTGCCTTTCTTCTATGTAAGCTATCTATATTCACAATCTTCAATTTCATTTTATAGATTGTTTTCCAAATAAATTTTAACCATAGAATTAGAGTTCCTAACTTTCCATTAAAATAGTAAAATGTTTTGGGAAGTATTTTATACTTTCTTTCTACAATAAATGTAATGAAATTTATTTAAATATTAGTGATCATTTATAATTTATAATTACAATAGTTGGCACAATAAAAGAATTCACTTTGACAATACTAATTATGCCTATTTTAGGGCAATAGGGTGACAGGATGGGATATTCTATGGTAATTTTGCTACACATGCATGTATGTATGCATGCATGTATGTATGTATGTTTTTTGAGCTTTATCAGCTATAACAAGCCATTTTTCTTTGAAAAGAGCATTTGTATAAACAAACGTAGCCTAGGTGATAACTGGAAAAGTGAGGAAGGCCAGAGAGGTGATCTATGGATTTAATAGTCATACACATTTTTACTTTTACAAAGACTGTTTGCTGGAGTCTTGAGATTGAAGGTTCAAGTTCCAAGCAAGTTTAAAAAAAAGCTCTGAAAAAGGTTTAAAAAACCAGTAGAGAAAACTTTTGACACAGGGAGTACCACCTTATCCTGTCACCCTATATCCTCTAAAATAGACACTGTTAGTATTGACCAAGTGCAATCTCTCATCTTGCCAAACATAAATGTAGTTGAAGACTGAAAATTATATAATTAAAAATTCAATGATTATCTAAAAATTTTATTTGAAATTTTTAAAACTACTGTTAAATCATTGCACATAAACAAATTTAGAAACAAATAACTAAAAATTATTTTTACTATCAATATTGAAAAATTCTTCATTAAACAAATATTCTTGAAAGTTGATAATTCCTAATATTTACTCTCCTTTACATGTAATGATTCTCAGAGAACTAGTAAGGGATAGAAACTGACTGTCAACTTTGTCATATGTTAGCTAAAAATATCAAATAAAAATTAAGTGATCAACTATCAAATCCATATCATTGGATATCATCAACATTATTTTCCTGTTTTAATTTTTTGAGTTTATTTACTATAGTTTGTCCTACTTGGTTGATATTGGTATCTGGTATTATGACACACCAAGATCAAGATATAGCTACTACAGAAAAAAGGCTGATAAAAATGAAGTAAAACTATTTCATGTTTTCTATGACTACTTCAGAGATGAAAGGTATATGAGTTAGTGTAGGTAACAAGCATTAAAGAAATCTTTATTAATTTAGTTATGGTTTTTTAATTCAGTTATAATTAATTTTTAATATAAATTAAAATTCAATATACCCTACAATAAATAATAAAATGAAAATATATTTTTTTTTCAGTATTTCATTTCTACCAATTTTTTAAACCTGAAAGTTGTATGCTGCCACGGATTACTCTTAAGAAATTACAGCAATAAAATGTTTATATTATGAAATCTTATATTTGTTTATTTGTGTCACTTTATAATGATATAGTTTAATTATTATCTATCATCAAATATTTTTATTATTTAGAAAAATTTTAATAACCAGTTAAAAAAAAATTGAATTTAATGTATTCTCTCTTATTAGTTTATTTTTATATTCTTTTAACTATTAATATACACTGGTGTTCAAAATTAAGAGAATTTGCACATTTTGTCAAATTTCTGAAAAACTAATGGACACATTTTAATGAAATTTGGTGTGGATACACAGTTATATAAGAGAAAAAATTATACTATACAACAAATTCATCATTTTATCATTTTGTCATGATATGCACTCATGATCCTCAGTAAACCTCATCAGCACAGGAATGTCCAAAACCTACATTGCAAGATTAAACATAAAATGACTCTAATATGGGACCTCTCACAGTCATACAGCTTTTGCATCATGATGTCATACTGGAAAAGAGACAGCTAATAACTCCCTGTAGCAGTTGTTCCCATTCCTGCAGCAATGCAATTTTCAGCTCCTGGATGGTTCTCATTGGGAAATGTGAGCCGCAATTGCCCTCCCAAGAGTATCCCAGACATGTTCAATAAGGTTTAGATCTGGAGATCTGGCTGGCCAATCCATCCAACAAATATCCTCATTTACAAGATAATCCTCGACAGGTAAGCCCTATGTGGACAAGCACTGTCATCTATAAAAATTAACCAAGGGCCAACTGTGACCCTGAAAAATCAAACATAGGGCTGTAAGACCTCATCCTATACCTCTCAGTAGTCAGAGAGCCTTTGTCAAACACATGGAGAGTTATGGGGCTGTCCAATATAATGCTTGCCCAGACCATGACACCTCTGCTGCCATAGCAGTCCCTTTTACTGATGTTGGAGGAAAGAAATCTAGTCCCAGACTCTCTCCAAATGAAGGTGAATTGAAAATCTGTGTCCCGATTGAATCGCAACTCATCTGTGAAGAGAACAGTAACCCACTGAAGTCTGGTCTACAGCAGATGTTGTCTACACAATGCTAAACATACTCTATTCTTTGCTGAAGTGAGTGGAATGCAAACAGCAGGCCTTTTGGCAAAAAGCCCTCTCTCATGAAGCCTCTGAGAAATAGTAACCCTTGAAACTTGGGTTCCAGTGGCAGCATGCAGCTCATGAGTTTGCTGTGAAGCTGATGCAATCCTGTGGTGCCTTGCTGAAAGTGCCAAATAACAAACTTATTGGCCATCATGGCTCTTGGGTGATCTTGCCCAGGCCTTCTCAATATAGATCCAGTGTCCTAAAACTGTTTCCACAAATTGCAGACTGCACTGGGCATTACATTGGCNCAAGTAACTGCTGATTTGCATTATACATAACTTATAAAAATTCCATTCTGTTATCTTAGATGTCAATCACATGGATCTCATTCAGTGACACCATGTCATAAAAATTACATCAGAACAGAAAAACACTGTGTATTCATGCAATCACAAATAATTGTATGTGATCACATGCACAAGGTGACAAATTTCCATGACATTTTTTTGAGTGATAAGTAAAACAAATTTCTTCTTTTGCCAAAATTTTTACAGATAGATAGAATGTAGTATGAGAAAATGAATATTTAATGTGAAAACAAATCATACAATAACTATTTAAATAAACAATTTAAAATGAAAATAAGCAATTATTTATTGTGCCATCATCGTGCCAGGATGCAACTTTTAATCATATTTTTTAAATTTATTTGATTTAAAATACATGCTCTCCACCTCAAATTAGCAGTGTCTTGCCCCTGTACATCATACTTTTCCTTTAACAATAGGGTCATGCCAGTCATTTATTTAACACCTTTGAAAGGAAAATTTTTGAATTGAAATAACATAACTTCCAGTTTGCATCTGAAGTTTGTATATAGTTAATTGGGGTCTCCTGTTCCTAAGGTTTCCATATCTGGTCTTGTCTTTAATCTATCTCAGGGGTGGCCAACAAGTCAATCGCAAAGTCAATTTTCATCAATCGCTTGCGATGTCTTGACTTAATGTGTTATATTTGTAACCAAACACAACTGTAGTGATATTGGACCTCCGCATCCTCCCTCAGATGCAGTTTTGTTTTGTGGTTTTGTCAGTACATGTGCAAATGGATTGCACATGGACTGACAAAACCACACAGTTGTAAAAGGGGAATAAGAAATATAGACAAGGGAAAAAAAAAAAGAAACGCAGGAAGCGGGACAGAGAGAGTAGGTCAGAACATGGTAGAGAGAGGAAAGGTGAAGTGGTGGTCCCCGAAAGTGACATTGAGTTTCAATTTTTCTTCTGTTTAAAATGTAAGTACCTTTTCTTCATATTTTAAATTAAATTGTGGCTTTTCTTACCTATCTAAACATTGTATTTCACACCTCCCCTCGCCACTTAGACTATGCCTATAACAAAGTTGATTGCAACACATTTTTAAGATAAAAAGTAGATCTTATGTACACAAAAGTTGGCCACCCGATCTAACTCCATTCTCAAAATTAAGGAAGGACAGACAACAGAGGGAATTTATAGGTTTACAATTTTTTCAAATTGCAGCCCGATAAAAACAATTGACATTTAAAGTCCTGTTATTAGTTAAGAGTGATAATGATTGTATATTATCAGCATATGTTGAGGTTAATAATACAAAACAGTTTGAAAATGACTATTAAACTGACGCCTCATCCTATACCTCTCAGTAGTCAGAGAGCCTTTGTCAAACACATGGAGAGTTATGGGGCTGTCCAATATAATGCTTGCCCAGACCATGACACCTCTGCTGCCATAGCAGTCCCTTTTACTGATGTTGGAGGAAAGGAATCTAGTCCCAGACTCTCTCCAAATGAAGGTGAATTGAAAATCTGTGTCCCGATTGAATCGCAACTCATCTGTGAAGAGAACAGTAACCCACTGAAGTCTGGTCTACAGCAGATGTTGTCTACACAATGCTAAACGTACTCTATTCTTTGCTGAAGTGAGTGGAATGCAAACAGCAGGCCTTTTGGCAAAAAGCCCTCTCTCATGAAGCCTCTGAGAAATAGTAACCCTTGAAACTTGGGTTCCAGTGGCAGCATGCAGCTCATGAGTTTGCTGTGAAGCTGATGCAATCCTGTGGTGCCTTGCTGAAAGTGCCAAATAACAAACTTATTGGCCATCATGGCTCTTGGGTGATCTTGCCCAGGCCTTCTCAATATAGATCCAGTGTCCTAAAACTGTTTCCACAAATTGCAGACTGCACTGGGCATTACATTGGCCTTCTGTACTTATGACTGCCCTGCCAACAATTCAATGAGGTAGAGAATTGTTGGCTTATCAGCCAACAATTCTCCACCTCATTGAGGTTTTTTAATAATTTTAAAATTTAGTTTAAAATTTTAAAATAATTTAGTTTTAAAATAAGTAGCCACAAATGTTTTGATGACAGAATGAGGTGGAGAATTGTTGGCTTATCAGCCAACAATTCTCCACCTCATTCTGTCATCAAAACATTTGTGGCTACTTATTTTACCTGATGCTTATGAAATTGAACAAATTCTTGCAAGAAAAACAAAGAATGTCACCAAAAAGTAGGAGTGAACTAATCGCAGACAAAGCCATGTGTGCTTTTCTTGCCCTCAGCTATCAAAGTTCTTCCCACACATGTGTAAGCTTACATATTCAACACTAAAAATTTGAATTCTTATTTGGTGGCATAACTTGTAGTTTCGGTTCGGTTCACTACTTTTTGTTAAAATCAACAAAATGTGCAAATTCTCATATTTTGTTGATTTTAATTTCGTACACCGTGTATTACTAAATCTAGGATAGATTTCCATAAGGGAAACTGTTAGATTTTGTTTTATTTATTTAAAACTTTGCTCTGCTACTGTTAATATTTTTAAATCTTCAAAAATTAAAAAAGATAATAAATTAAGTTTTAAATGTTTATTATATATTATATATATATAATTATCAATGATGTTTAATTTACCTTTTTACCACTTGCTGCTCCAACTTTAGCCTTCTTTGTTCCTCTAACTTTCTTCATTCTGTTCTTTCTTTCTTTTCTTTGTTTTCTTCCCATCTTTCCTTTCTCAGCAAGACCATTCTGTAAAATGTGTAAATTTTTAAAAAATTAAACTGCTTTAAATTCATATCATATGTGAATTTAAAAAAGGTTAAACCTAAATAAAAGCATCAATATTATTTCACTCTAATGTTTTTAATATTATCACATACTAAGAGAGATCAAGTAACTGCTGATTTGCATTATACATAACTTATAAAAATTCCATTCTGTTATCTTAGATGTCAATCACATGGATCTCATTCAGTGACACCATGTCATAAAAATTACATCAGAACAGAAAAACACTGTGTATTCATGCAATCACAAATAATTGTATGTGATCACATGCACAAGGTGACAAATTTCCATGACATTTTTTTGAGTGATAAGTAAAACAAATTTCTTCTTTTGCCAAAATTTTTACAGATAGATAGAATGTAGTATGAGAAAATGAATATTTAATGTGAAAACAAATCATACAATAACTATTTAAATAAACAATTTAAAATGAAAATAAGCAATTATTTATTGTGCCATCATCGTGCCAGGATGCAACTTTTAATCATATTTTTTAAATTTATTTGATTTAAAATACATGCTCTCCACCTCAAATTAGCAGTGTCTTGCCCCTGTACATCATACTTTTCCTTTAACAATAGGGTCATGCCAGTCATTTATTTAACACCTTTGAAAGGAAAATTTTTGAATTGAAATAACATAACTTCCAGTTTGCATCTGAAGTTTGTATATAGTTAATTGGGGTCTCCTGTTCCTAAGGTTTCCATATCTGGTCTTGTCTTTAATCTATCTCAGGGGTGGCCAACAAGTCAATCGCAAAGTCAATTTTCGTCAATCGCTTGCGATGTCTTGACTTAATGTGTTATATTTGTAACCAAACACAACTGTAGTGATATTGGACCTCCGCATCCTCCCTCAGATGCAGTTTTGTTTTGTGGTTTTGTCAGTACATGTGCAAATGGATTGCACATGGACTGACAAAACCACACAGTTGTAAAAGGGGAATAAGAAATATAGACAAGGGGAAAAAAAAAAAAGAAACGCAGGAAGCGGGACAGAGAGAGTAGGTCAGAACATGGTAGAGAGAGGAAAGGTGAAGTGGTGGTCCCCGAAAGTGACATTGAGTTTCAATTTTTCTTCTGTTTAAAATGTAAGTACCTTTTCTTCATATTTTAAATTAAATTGTGGCTTTTCTTACCTATCTAAACATTGTATTTCACACCTCCCCTCGCCACTTAGACTATGCCTATAACAAAGTTGATTGCAACACATTTTTAAGATAAAAAGTAGATCTTATGTACACAAAAGTTGGCCACCCGATCTAACTCCATTCTCAAAATTAAGGAAGGACAGACAACAGAGGGAATTTATAGGTTTACAATTTTTTCAAATTGCAGCCCGATAAAAACAATTGACATTTAAAGTCCTGTTATTAGTTAAGAGTGATAATGATTGTATATTATCAGCATATGTTGAGGTTAATAATACAAAACAGTTTGAAAATGACTATTAAACTGACGATAACGACAATTATAACCAAAAATCCTTACAGTAAGCAATACAGGTAGCCCTCGGTTTACACCACAGTTCCGTTCCTACAAAAGCCGGCACAAATCAAATTGGCGTAAAACGAACCCATATTTACACTGAGGTACAGGGTTAGGTTCCACTAAGTGAAAAATACGCAAATAATTTTGTTTATTAATACAATATAATACAAAGTACAAATAAATTTAATTTTTAAAATGTATTTTATCATAAAATAAAGTTAAATGTTTTTATTAAAAATTTTAGTTTCGGATCTCTCTCATTTTTCGGAAAAAGTATCCATCTTTAATTGTTTACATTTTTGTTTTCTTTCATTGAGAATTTCGGAATATAATCGAATGGATGCGACGATACTCCTTTTTACATTCGCACTTCACTCCCAATCATTGTCTAACTCAAAGTTCAACCGTCAAACTTTCCATAGTCGAAAGGATACGTTAATTAACCAGACGTAGAGCTACGGACGAGCGGAAACACTGATTGGTTGACCACCAGTCGCCGTAGCGCATATGTAAAATCAGTTTGAGCAGGAAAATTAAGGAGAGATAGATATCGTCTGGCCAAGGAAAAGTAGATTTGTCTTACTAACGATAGTTTGTGCTCGCCGGAAGTGCTACTGCGTCGTAAGGTGTTTTCCTGAACAAACTGATACGGGATAAATTCAATCGCACTATGGATTCGGACGCCATTTATTGGACTATTAAGTTTGATAACTTGACTCGTGGGTACCTAAACGTTTAGTATTTTAATATTAATTTAATGCAAATGTATACATACCCAATAATATTAAACAGAAAAAATAAATATATTCAATAAAAATCTTTGTTTTAACGAATGTACAATGTCGCGGCTCGGTAAATACGTCAACACTGAAACGAAAATCAGTCTGGCATAGGGAAAATCGGGGAATTACACAGCAAAATCGCAAATTGTGCAGCGGCGTTATTGTGAATCGGCGTAAACCGAGGGCTACCTGTATATGCAGGTCCATACAAGTAATTCTGTGATTCTGCCATTCCCTGACCAATTATGACATTATTTCCTGACTTAACATCTCTGCATTTCCCTTTCCATTATGTAATATTTGGCCAAGTCTATAAGCCCATTTTGTACACAATTATATAAATTTTTTATTAAAAAACACTTTATTCACTTACAAAAAACTTCACATAATATCAATTATGTAATTATCTACATCATTTAAAAAATGCCATGGTTTAATTTTAATTAATTCATAAATTTTATTTAAAGAAGAAAAAGACTCATGTTGTGTCATAAAATTGAATTTTCTTAAAGTGAGGAGGCAGTAAATTCAAAATATACCGATCTCAAGACAGTATTGAATGTAAGCGAAATCCTTTCAATATCAATATCGTGATGGTCCCTCAGTGTCGTCATAGAGCACAAATGTTTAGTTTTAATTAACTAGCTACCTAGTTATGTATAAATACAGATGAATATCCAGTGCACTGATACTTTCCCAAAGATGAGCTGGACATGCCAGCTATCAGAGTGGTATTAATACTAGTGAAGATCTTAGTGACGTTCTTTCCCAACTCCGTCTCGTTGAGTAGGTTTCCATGTGTATCACGATTCGATGTAGTGATCCAGGTTCAATGGAAAGCACACCTCCACACTCAAACTGATAATATTTACAATTTATTTACAGATTCTATATGTATAAGGTACAAGTTCAAAAACATAATATATATATACAGGGTAACAATGCGTGGTGACTCATGTACTATCTTGGTTTCTGGGAACTTTTAAACTTTGAAGCGGCCTCAGTCAGCTCATGGAGTTGGCTCAACTGTACGGTCCGTCCAGTCTCCACACTAACCCATCCCTGAGATGTTTACCAGGGGAGAACATTCTCTCTATGATCAGCGGACCTTCCAAGTGTCTGAGACTACCGTGTACCAGTCTCTTGCCCTTCTCCCCTCCTCTCTCATTCGCCCCGCAATTTAAGGGTTTTTTGGACAAGGACTTCCGACCAATCACAACCCCTTCTTGCCCGAACAGCTTACACTCAGGTCCGCCATCATCCGATAAAAGTGAAGCTTACATAAACGTCTGCCACATGTTTACATTCAGTTGTTTACCATATGGCAAATGGTCTAACGTCTGACTACAGGTGGGTCCAATTGACAAAGACAGCGCTTCCTTTGTTTTCTCTTGTTTACAAGTCAATACCTTACAAGTGGTATTACCCGACCGCACGTGGGTCCAATTGACAAGGTTGTGCTTCTTTTGTTCCCACTCTGCTAAAGGTCAATACTTTACAATACTGAAAAGATTTTGCTTACATTCAACCCTGTCTTGAGATGGGTATATACAGCTATCACCAAAAGACATAAAGTCAGCATTGCATACAAGAAAGCCCCAACTATGTTTGACATGTTACGTAATGGAAAGGACCTGTCTGACCCAATTAAATCGCCAGGCATCTATTGAATCCCTGTTAGGGATGAAAGATTCAATAGGGATTTGATCTACATAGGATCAACAAAACGCTCAATGGTGGTAAGGATAAGAGAACACAAATCAGACATACAATACAATAGAGCCACCATGTCACTCTCACTATATGCTTCTGACCCATGTATTACTGTGGACTTCACAGGGGCAGTGCTAATAGTCAAAACAACATGGATGGACCATCTCAAATGGCTGTAGGCTGTAGAGCTATATAAGGCACACACTTCATCTGAGTGCATTAATTCCCAGGAGGAAATGGCTCTTTCGTTGGCTTGGCAGGCCTCATTGCTTAATGATTCTTAAGGGTTTATTTAATATCGGATGATGCACAGGGACATGTAACATCAAACGTAATAATATTGCATTGTGTAAGAAAAATGCATGCATTTGAGAATTAATGCGAATCTGAACAGCAGGGAACATGACATGTACAACACATACGCAATGGACACTGGACAATCGAACTATCATCGTTCGATTTATTTTTAAAATTTTGTGACGGTGTTCCAGAATAAAGAATCCAGCTAAATTACTGATGAAGAGCATGGAAGGTGTTCAGAAAACGTTTGTTGTTTTGAATTTTACCTTTTTTTCACAGCAGTTAGAGGCTTGAGTAAGTTGGATTTTTATTGTACAGGTATACTTCGACTTACGTCGTTCCCGATTATACGTCATTTGTCAAAAAAGTATATGGAAAAATAAAAATCAAGTTTAAGTCATTTTATTCGACTTTACGTCTGTCCGCCACAAATATTGAAGTCGCAATATCACTAGAAAAATGTTTAAAGCACATAAAATCATATTAAAATACTGTACATACATTTACAAGTATGTACTATATTTACAGTACTGTACATGCATTCGTAAATTTAGATTACTTTTTTCTGTACTATATTAAAAACTAAAATTTATTTGTTCGTAAGCTTAAAATAGATCCATATTAACCATACATTATTAAAAATGCATTAATAAATAAAATACAGAACCGGAATTGGCAATTTATGGTTTAGCCTAGTGACAAGTAGATTTGGAGACAAGTAAATTCGACTTACGTTGTTTTTCAACTTAAGTCGTTCTCCTGGAACCAATTACCGACGTAAGGCGAGGTATAACTGTACTTTAAATTGATAATTATATCTAAGATTACAATAACCAAATTTTATTGTGTTACATTTTATGATAGAATTATGTTTTCTTTTGTTAAATATTTAAACATTTTTCTCAAACAATGTGTCTTATCTTGCATGTATTTACTAAAACAAGCTTTAATAGGATAAATTTTAGTCATACTTACCCTTACTAATCTGTATTTAGGTTCAAATTTTTTAGCAAAATCTAGTGTATCATAGATTAATGCAAAGCCTGTAGTTCTACCACCACCAAACTGAGTTCGGAATCCAAAAGAAAACACAACATCAGGTGTTGTTTTATATGCTTTTGCTAATCGTTCTCTAACTTCAACTTTAGATACAGTTGCTCTTCCTGGATGAAGTACATCAACAACCTAAATAAAATCAATTTTTTAATTTAATTAAAACTTCCTTTTCAAAACAAAATATATTTTGGTTCATACATATAAAGAGTATTTACAAAGTTTTACAATTCTTATTTATGTTTGTAATCCAATCCCCATTAATTACAATACTTCTTTGCAAACAAAATCAATTCTTCTTACTTAATTTGTTAAAAAAATTTTTTATAATTCTATTTATGCTTTTATTGCACTTTTGTCCTCATTAAGCGGCTAAGCTTTTTGAGAATATGAATTAGGAAATATTGTTACATCCACTTTGTTCATCTGATTTTGCTCAAATACAGTCGACCCCCCTATAACACGGGTTCCTATAGTTCGGATTCCTATATGCAACGGTATCTGTACAAACATGGTAAAAAACTCCTACAGCAAGCTAAGCAAATTTAGATCAACAAGATTTTTAACAGTTATGCTATATTTTATCTGAAAACGAATGAAACATGCAGTTTATTAACATAATTAATTTTAATAACAGGAAATACTGAGGCACGAGGCATTAATCAATATACTGTATATATAATTGTATATTAACTTAATTTATTGTAACTTTATTATAATTACATATATACTTTCCGCCATCCAGCGCCACGCTACGGAGAGTTTAGGCAAGTAAGTTGAGTTTACCATCATCTGTACAGTATGTAAATTAGGTACCATAAGTCTAATACAGCAATAATTTTATACATTTCTTGTGAAAGAAACATTTCTTATTCAACAGCCATAAAAATTATTTATATTAATGATGTTCCAAAGTTCAACGAAGTTTTCACAGAAAAATAACTTATCAGAAATCGTGGCCGCCATTTGGTGCGCTGCTCCACGACGAAAACAAGCTTAAGCAATGGCGACATTGAACGGTGCACACTCGGTAAGTAATCCTACAATTTTTTGTTTATAGCATAGTTTATATGGATTATTCCCAAAAAAAATATACATATTTTGGAAATGTTGAGTCAAATTAATCTAGGAATCAATTAATTTTATGGAAGAAAACCTTTCAAACAGCCGTAGTTCATAAAGTGCATACATGTCGGGCTGTGATTGGCAAGGACTCGTACAAAATTGATTCATAAAGAACGGAATGTATCTACCGTGTTATAGGGAGGTCGACTGTAATTCAGAAATTTGAAAATGAAGAAATTGTGAGGGGGGGAAGTGTTTTGAATCACTCAAGATGAAATATTCAATTAATCTTTGTACAAACTAACTGTAGGCTTACCACTATCTACTTTTATGTTAAATTTCAATTAGTTAAAATAAGCATTAATGTAACCTGAAATAATCCAGCCATTTAGGTTTATGTTTATTAATGAGATTTGAATTTTTGTTTATATTACAGTAAAAAAAAACCTGTTAAAGCCACAGCTTCAAAAACTCTCACACTTTCCAGCTTAGGCAGATAAGAACAAGAAAGTCAATGTTGCTTCAAAATGTGAATGCACTTTTCACCAATTGAAAATCTAGTCATAGTTTTGTGACATTCCATTAACCCAGCATTGTCAGGACCAACATGGTGCAGGTTATTGAATATGACAACTTATCAGATAATAGAATTTTTCCTGTTTTCTTTGATTCCCTATACACAATTTTACACAGCTTTGCATGTAAAACTGTATAAACCTGCCTTTTATGATTGTTTAACACATTTCAATTTTTCCAAATTTTTCCTATTCTTAGTTAGTTTGACACAACAACACACTAACTAGAATCTTACTTTGTGCTTTTACACTTATATAGAATGTAGAGTAGATATAGATAAATTTTACATATTAAAAGCAAAATGTTCTGTCACAGCCAAAACTAAAACCAACACTAGTTAATAGACTCAACTACATCTGGTTGAAATAAAACCAAATCAATCAAGAAGGAAAACAAGTACTTTATCACCACTTTCCAAAATACTGTTTTAATTGATTTAATTTTATTGGGTTGTTCGGAAAGTAATTTCATTTTTTTCCATGGAAAAAAAAAACAATATTTTTATAATAATTAAATATTTTGTTGAATTATTTATCGACCATCTTCATCAAATATTTGTTGTCATCGTTTCTGGTAGTAGCATGATTTTACATTCATAAAAATTTTGATCGTTGCTTACAAAAAACTGATCCAAGTGATTTTTGACATTGTCATTTCAAGTAAATGTCTTACAGTTAAAAAAAATTGTCTAGACCGAAACAAGTAATAATCTGAGTGTGCTCGATCTGGCGAATATGGTTGGCGCGATAGCATGTACCATCTAAGTTATAGAAGTTTCTGATGAATTACCAAACTTGTGTGAAATTTGACATTATCGTGGTAAAACATTACACCTGTTTTGTTGATAAATTCTGGCTGCCTTTTTAGTTTAATGATATTACTCAATTTGTTTACTCGATGGCAGTACACTTTTGAATCAATTGTTAAATTGTCTAGTAAAAGCTCCAAAAAAAAAAAAATTTCCTTAAAATCCCACCAAAGACAGCATCTTTCCTTAAAAAAAAAAAAAAAAAGCATCTTTCCTCATATATCGAGCTTTGAAACGAAACCAATTTGTTTCAAGTAATCATAAACAGTTCAGTTTGACAAATTTCATCTCAGTGATTTCACGTGTTGTTATTCGGCAGTTTGCTTCAATCACTACCTTTTATTTTGTTTTCATCGGCTTCAACTGGCCATCCAGAATGTGGTGCATCTTCAACATTGAAATTGCCAGAACAAAATTTTGTAAACCAGTTTTGGCACTGTCATTCTGTCAATACATCTTCTCCATATACGTCACACAATTTTTTTCTTGCTTGAACAGCATTCTTACCTTTTTTGTAATAAAAGAGCAAAATATGCCAAAAATGCTGCTTTCGATCTTCCATATATGATGGAACACAAAAAATAAACAACTGCACAAAATCAAACAAAATTTTTTACAAATAATCCTTAAAATGCTAGCTGTCAAAATATATAATGATAATATGGTTTAGAATGAAAATGGCGGGAAAAATACAACTAATCCGTCTAGTGGTAAAAAAAATGAAATTACTTTCCGAACAACCTAATAATTTCAATTCAAATTAATTAATTTTGAATTTTATTTTTTGTTTCATTTTGGCCAGAATTTTAAATTTTCTAATTTTAATGTAATTATTATGTTTAGTTTTAATTAACTGGCTACCTAGTTATGTATAAATACAGATGAATATCCAGTGCACTGATACTTTCCCAAAGATGAGCTGGACATGCCAGCTATCAGGTTTTTTGGCATACCAGATGCCATGTTAATAGAATTTCATTGTATTTGCTATATTCATTGAAATAACCTCAAAAGAAAAGAAAAAGCATGAAGAAAATAAATTATGTATTCATGCACAATTTCTTTTTTATTTAAGAATAGAATATTATATTTGTTCTAAATGAAACTTCTTCATATTATCTCACTGAAACTGTAACTTTTGGACATCATCTTGAGTGATTTACTTGCTCTAATGCAATACTCTCAAAGCAACCTTCACTTTTTAAGCTATAATTAATGGAGAAGTAAATTCAACTTCTCAAAACCCAACAAGGACAGTCAATAAAAACAAAAATGAATTCTTGTTTATTCTTATATTTTATTATGTATTACAGAATTTATATTATTTTGTATCACATTATACACACTTGTGCAATTTTTATGTATTTAAAAGTTTTTGTATAATTTTAAAATGTTCCAGGTATACATTAATAAACACTGCACACATAACCAATATCCAGCAAGAAGAAACTTCAAGAAAGAAAATATTTTCATCTGTGTTTAACAGGCATTGTCAGGCTAATTGACCTTCATAGTCGTTAAAACAAAAAGTTACTAGGAATTGGCAATTGCTGTACACACGTTAAAAGAGGGGTGACATGGGAGAGAGGGTTGTAAGATTAACTTTGTAGACTGACTTCCATGCAGGGGGAAGGAGTCTGCATCTCTAAAGTTAATAGCCATGTTTTTTTCTCACAGTTTTGTAAATTTCTAATTGTTCTAAATATCTATGCCATTCTTTGGGAGGTGTTATGTAGGAGACATGCTTAGTCAAAACAGGTGTTTAACAGTTTTGACAATGCATTAAACACCAATGAAAATGTTTGATTTCTTATAACCAATATCCAGCAAGAAGAAACTACATGTACAGTATTTATTAACAGAGAAGTATTCAACATTTTCAGTAATACAGAAGTTACATTCCAAAAAATTGCCGTGTTATGTGAATCCATGTTATACGAAATGAAGAACTAGTGCAAAAAGGAGAGTTAGGTACAGTAGAACCTCGAAAACTCGGCCTAATGTGGACCGAAGGGTGGCCGAGTTCGTGAAAATGCCAGGTTATCGGGAATGGGGTTAAAAAAGGATAAGTATGCGTGTTTCCTCAGAAAATATTGTACTGTACTTGTATGTATTGTTTACTTGAGAATACAACAGAAAATAAACTGCCCAAATACCCTTAAACAAAGGAAAAGTACGTCCTTTATGAAGGCATAGAGCCTTTACTACATGAAAATGAAAATTAATGAATACACTGTGTACAGTAATTTACCTGATAAGACAGACCTCAGAAAAATACTTTATGAGAGCTTTTATAAAGCTGTCTATAATGAAAATTAATTAACTAAGGATTTTTTTGCTCCACCGGGAGTTGGCCGAGTTATCCGGAGTGCCGGGTTATCGAGAGCCGAGTTTTCGAGGTTCTACTGTACCAAAAATTAAAAAAACATGCTGTTAAATCCTTCTATAAATCGGATTTATTATTCATTTTTTTATGGGTAAAATATTTATTATTTAAGTAAATATTTTACCAGAGGATTATTCATTCTATATGATGATCTCAGCATGAGCATCATCAACTGGTAACAGTTTTTGGGTGCATTCGTTAATAGCGGTCGCTCTGCATCTCCACTACAACGGGAGTGCACTGTTGTTTGTAGACATTTAGGAATGACAGTAAAAGAAAGAAAGATGGCAGCACCCGCACTATCAATAGTATTGTGATGAAGGAATCTATAATTCTAAAATATGAGCTTTTAGAGGCAAAAGAAGAGTCCCAATTGTAAAATTTAACCATTAAATGGATTATTTGTTGAAAGAGCATTCAAAGTAGCCACGAAAAAAATTAGAATGCTCGCACGGATATAAAAGAACGCACCCTTTATTACATTTCATGTTGTACGAAGGTTTTACCCAATGCTCAAACTGTGTTAGAGTGAACCCGTGCTATAAAAGCACCGTGTATATGGGGATGTTCCCAATTCTCGAACCGTGTTAGAGTGAATCTGTGCTATAGAAGTGCCGTGTTATACAGGGGCTACCTGTATGTTTTTGTTTTTTAACATGTCAATGCATCAGGCAAACAGAGCAATCTTCTCATATAAAACCAAAGTGGACTTAGACCAAAAATACAGATGCCTAAAATAGCATAAAAGGGGATGAAAACAGAAAACAATATTTTCTGAAGTTTCTGCCAAAATGAAATACAAAATTGAGTACAGAAAGTTTCTTTTTCTTTTTTTCTTTTTAAATATTGACAAATTTCCTATCAAAGTGTAACTAAATGAAATCTCACCAAGATGTTCACTCTAGTTATGAGGTCTATCTTGATTCAAAAATGGCACATACAGATACCAAAAAACATTTAAATCTAAATTTGTTTTAAGATTTAATGCACAAACTATTAAAGTTGATTGGTTTTAAACATTTCAGTTCATTGTTTGATATTAGGTTCTCTTCACTCATTAACTGTAGTTAAATAGGAAAACATCTATATTTCATTAAAATGTTCTTACTACAAGGACTTAGGTTTTTGTTGTGTATTTTGTGATAACTAGTTCATGTGTCCTTATGTCATTATGCCTAAATCACTTACATTTTCCAAACTTCAAACATCAATTATTACATTATTTAACTAAATATTCCCTAAACTATATCATAATGTAAGAAACATAAATATTGACAGAGTTGAGTTTATTCCTAATCGTTTTTGTCATTTTTGAATTTAATACTTGTTTAAATATCAGTCCGACAGGTTCTAATTAATGTAAATTAATAGCAAAGGTATAACACATATAGCTTTCCATTTAATCTCACATATTCCACCTTAAACAGGCTATTCTGTGAAAATAAAATTTAGTGGTACTGTCAAAATAAATGCAATCAACTGAAATGTCGGTTAACTGAAAGTGTTCCAGTTAGCAAATCCAAATTTCCGCTAGTGCTATGGTGCCACAGCACTCTCCCCCCTCCCTGCCAAAGCAAACTGTAAGCCTACTTTAATGTACTACTTTATGTAAGATATGTATTTGTAAGACATGTGATACAAAATATATACATTACAGTTCAGTGTTTAATATATTTTTTTCATAAATGATTAGTTATCTGAAAAAATCAGTTATCCGAACAACCCCCAGCCTGAATTATTTCAGATAATCAATGCTCTACTGTAATACATTTTTTATTAAGTAAATTATCATAAATTTATTGGTATAATGACACTTAAATTGTGTTGTTTACAAATTAAAAAAAGAAAAACCCAATTGCAAATGGATTATTTCATAATACATATTACTCACCATTTGTTTTCTACACAAAAGTCTATTAGTCATAAACTTTCTTGTACGAATCGTAACTTGACTTTCACTCTATAAATAAAAATAAGATATATATATATATATATGATCAATTGAAATATTACATATTGATTTTTTTTCAAAATAAGTTATTGTCATTGATGTGAAAACTATTGTTAACTAATAAAATCCATCCAATAAACAAAGTGTTGATTATAAATACACCTCACTAACTTTAATAATGATTTGTAGTTGCTTGTAATGTACACAAACGTTTTCAGTCCACCCTAGGACCTTCAGATGAAGTTCTAGAAAAAACCTTTTCTGGTATGATAAGTGTTCTATTCAGTTTCCGATACATTCTAATTTGAACACATTGGAAACTGAATAGAACACTAAGCCACCATGTGACTACGCAGAAACATTACTTGCCTCAGCCATGTGGCATCTCTGACATATTTCCTGAGAACTTTTGTTTTTTCAGACTGAACTTTAGAGGCACCATGTGATATATTTCCTAACACATGATTCAGACTTCTGAGTTTGCAGACTAGTTTATTAAACTGTGGTCTGTGAACTTTTGATTAAATAATTAATTAATAAAAGTTCATTACTAGTCATGATCTCTGCAGAATACAAATAGATAGAGATGTGACAAAGGTAACTAGTCTCATTTTGTATATAGTTATATTCATTTCATTTTAATATTTTTAGTTAATTTTTAAGAATTATTTTTGTTAGCAAGCTGTTTTTGTCTTCATTGTTTCATATAATCAGAAAAATAAACTGGAATAATAACTGTTTTATACTTATTTAATCTCACAAAAGTACTTATCCATTAACAAAAACTTTGAGAAGCACAACTCTAACATACATTATATCTGTTGTTTTAAACAAAATATTTTATTTTTAAACAGAAAGTAACTTTAGTTACTTTCTGTTTAAAAATTTAACAGAATTTAACTTTAGTTCAAATTTTTAAATAAAAATGATTAATTACATACGAGGGCTATTTTTTATTTCAGGTCTGTTTTTTAATACGAATAAAAATACTGTAAATATCATTAAAATATACTTTTTTCCCATATTCTACATACTTTTATCTACTTTTCTATATAATTTCCATTTTTGTTCAAACATTTGTCATACCGCTCAAAAATTTGTTAAATTCCACTTCAAAGAAATCTGCCGTCTGCTGCTGGAAGACATTAGGCCACGCCACTTGTCTTGTATGGAATGGCGGAGTTTTCTCAAGGTCACAATAAGCATCAAAATTAGTTGTTGTGACTCTTGACATAAAATCCACTAACAAAGTTCCTTTCCTTTCCCAAAAGACAGTTACCATGATCTTTCATGCTGAAATCGAATAACAGATTGTATCTTACAGTCGGCGGGCAACTCAATTTTCTTAAACATTATAAACTTCTGCAGTTCAGCACACAGACAGATGATACAGCTGCAAATAGCATCTAAACATGTGCAAAGCATGCCAAAAGCAGATGCTCATGCACACTGCTGAAATCATGCGTCTTTCTCACTCTCATTCACACACAGACCTTATTTAAAAAATAGCCCTTGTACAAATATTCTTATGTGAATTTAGCTAACAAATTTAGTTATAAGCATTCAATCTGAATTTTAAAGTAATTCAATTATTTGTTTCGCTTTCCTACTTTTGTATTACTAGTAGTCTATCTTGTAGGAAAAGCCAATATTAGGGTGGCTATCCATCTCCAATTTCCATTTTTGCACCCAGAAAGGAGACTTGTCCCTGTTTGTTTCCTTGTGCTTATAGTAATATTGTTGCTGTCAGTTTTTCTGCCAGAGGATGTTTTACCTGCAACCCTGATTAAGTCTTCAGGGTTGCAGGTAATTTTTTTTATGAAGTAACAAATTTTAAAACAAAAAAAATAATAGCCCAAAAATGCACCAAAAGTAAATAGCTATGAACTTGATTGGAAGAGAGCCATTTGATTGAAACAAATAAGCTTAATCAAAATTAAAATGTTTAGATCTCAGTCATGCATATGTACAGTACCCATTTGACAGTATTATACATGCAGACTTCGACTGTATACCCTAAGAAGTGACCTTTGACATGTGTCCTGGATATTTTATTTCACAGTATTTGCATTTCAAAATCGGCCTTTCCTAGCTACCAAGCCAGCCTCATCTATAATTTAATGTTGGCAAGTACATAATAAGTAATCTATTTTGATTTTTCCTAATAATAAAAAAACTTGAATATCGTTTTCATTATACCAAAATACGGCACTTGTACAGATTAACGGGTACGGCTATTTGAGAGGTTTACTTCCATAAAATTAACTAAATCTAGACTAATTTCACTCGAATATTTCCAAAACACGTATAATTTGTTGAAATGATCAATATAAAATATGCTATGAACAAAAAAATGTCGGAATACTTATCGAGTGTACCCGTTCGAAGACGCCATTGCTTAAGCTTGTTTTCGTCGCGGAACGGCACATTCTTCGTACGCGTCCGCTTCCAATGTGTCGGTGCTATTCGGTCACGTGACTACTCATCTCTGACGTGTTCCTGATAACTTATTCTTTTTGCGAAGAATTCACTGAACTTTAGAGACATCATTAACAGAAATATTAAAACTTCATTCCATTCTAAATATGGATTAAAATCAACATATAATAACGTATGATAATGCGATAAATAACTAATAATTCTGTTCTACTTTTCAATGGTCTAATCTCTCATGTCGTAAACAAAATTGTATAATATTTATTTACATCGACATTAGACATCTTATGTTGCATCTGATTAATATTTATCATCATTATAATATATATCATGATAGAATTGTTGTCGTTAGCGAGTGGTTTTTCCTTTGCTGCTTCATATAGTCAATAATAATAATAAGTCGTTTTTAATCATAATATACTATAGATTTTTTATTGTAATCTATCACGTGATGTCTCTAAAGTTCAGTGAATTCTTCGCAAAAAGAATAAGTTATCAGGAACACGTCAGAGATGAGTAGTCACGTGACCGAATAGCACCGACACATTGGAAGCGGACGCGTACGAAGAATGTGCCGTTCCGCGACGAAAACAAGCTTAAGCAATGGCGTCTTCGAACGGGTACACTCGATAAGTATTCCGACAATTTTTTGTTCATAGCATATTTTATATCGATCATCTCAACAAATTATACGTGTTTTGGAAATATTCGAGTGAAATTAGTCTAGATTTAGTTAATTTTATGGAAGTAAACCTCTCAAATAGCCGTACCCGTTAATCTGTACAAGTGCCCAAAATACAACATAACGATTTTATTTGAAAAGTTTCAGGAAGATACAACACGTGTTGTATTAACTAACTACTAAAGCTAAATTATAATACTAAAAAAATGAAAATTCATCAGAGATTAATCAATCATCACAAGTGAAATAATAACTTTATTTATTTCGTGATAGCTTCAAACGTGTGTGTATATGTATATTTCACGTGTAACTTATGTATATATAATTACTGTTTGTTATAAAAGTAACTTTAATTATTCTTGAAATGTATAAAAATGTCATTTATACAGATTCAATAATATATTTAGCAATCAAAACAGGTTAAACATCATTTATATAACATATTTTTACTTTTCATTCACAGCAAATCAAGATCAACGTGGCTTTTGCATTATTAATTATCACTTTGAACGAAACGTAGCTACCCGAATCATTTCATTTGATCAAAATATAAAAAAATTACTCGATCTAAATTATGTGATATATAATTCAATTGCGGATGCTTTTGGATTTAATAACTGAGCAAACTTACCATGTTTCTGGCTCTCTATTGTGAAAAATGGCGACTGATTCCTAAAAAGGTCTGTGTGAATACCAAGTGTTGCCAAGTTGAAACACAAAAGTTGTTCTACTCATGCACACTGCTGAAATCATGCGTCTTTCTCACTCTCATTCACACACGGACCTTATTTAAAAAATAGCCCTTGTACAAATATTCTTATGTGAATTTAGCTAACAAATTTAGTTATAAGCATTCAATCTGAATTTTAAAGTAATTCAATTATTTGTTTCGCTTTCCTACTTTTGTATTACTAGTAGTCTATCTTGTAGGAAAAGCCAATATTAGGGTGGCTATCCATCTCCAATTTCCATTTTTGCACCCAGAAAGGAGACTTGTCCCTGTTTGTTTCCTTGTGCTTATAGTAATATTGTTGCTGTCAGTTTTTCTGCCAGAGGATGTTTTACCTGCAACCCTGATTAAGTCTTCAGGGTTGCAGGTAATTTTTTTTATGAAGTAACAAATTTTAAAACAAAAAAAATAATAGCCCAAAAATGCACCAAAAGTAAATAGCTATGAACTTGATTGGAAGAGAGCCATTTGATTGAAACAAATAAGCTTAATCAAAATTAAAATGTTTAGATCTCAGTCATGCATATGTACAGTACCCATTTGACAGTATTATACATGCAGACTTCGACTGTATACCCTAAGAAGTGACCTTTGACATGTGTCCTGGATATTTTATTTCACAGTATTTGCATTTCAAAATCGGCCTTTCCTAGCTACCAAGCCAGCCTCATCTATAATTTAATGTTGGCAAGTACATAATAAGTAATCTATTTTGATTTTTCCTAATAATAAAAAAACTTGAATATCGTTTTCATTATACCAAAATACGGCACTTGTACAGATTAACGGGTACGGCTATTTGAGAGGTTTACTTCCATAAAATTAACTAAATCTAGACTAATTTCACTCGAATATTTCCAAAACACGTATAATTTGTTGAAATGATCAATATAAAATATGCTATGAACAAAAAAATGTCGGAATACTTATCGAGTGTACCCGTTCGAAGACGCCATTGCTTAAGCTTGTTTTCGTCGCGGAACGGCACATTCTTCGTACGCGTCCGCTTCCAATGTGTCGGTGCTATTCGGTCACGTGACTACTCATCTCTGACGTGTTCCTGATAACTTATTCTTTTTGCGAAGAATTCACTGAACTTTAGAGACATCA